GCAAAGAATAAATGCAGCCCAGGACTGGAGGAGGATGCCACAGGTACCAAGGCAATGATATATTAATTTCATTTGTTAAAGAGCTCTAAGTCATACAACATATGCTCTGCAGACATACAGTTGCTCTGTTTAACTAGGAAGCTGGTCTAGTAGGGAAGTGGTGGACTGATTGTATGAAGTGGTGGACTGATTGAAGCTTCCTATTGCTCCTTTGAGTGCTGCAGAGGTCTTTACCCAATTTAGGTCTATTAATTTCAGTGGGTCTACTCTTAATAAAAGTTAGGTGAATACAAGCCTATGGCTCCAAAATTCTTACACGCTCTCTTTGCTCTGCCTTTTATATTGGTGTGTTGATTGTAGAGGTTCCTTTTGGATTGCAAGGACTTCAGTCAACTTGTTGAGCGCACGCAGATTACAAGGTTTTTCATAATATTTGGCCATGTCAGGGTGCCTCTAAGTAAATGGGTGCAACTGTCCTGAAAGGTGTCATTCTGTCTAAGGAACATTGTTTTCCTTCACCTGATATTTTAAAGTCCTGTTTGTTTCAGATCACCATCAGCAATGGGAATATTCCCTGCAACAGCCACCTCTATTTCAAATGTTCATTCATTCAAAATGACAATGTTATACGTGAGTCCGAAGGTTTTGTGATTTGCAAAGTAATATCTGATTTAACAAGGCATGTGAAAAGAGTTTCACTGTCTCAGGAAGCTGAGTTCCATTCCAGAGCCTCTTTTCTACTGTGGGAAAAAAGACTCCGCTCCTTCTGGCTGATGACACAATCTCCCTAAGCAGTGGTGTGTTGAGCAGAGCTCTCTTCCTAACTGGCAGGAGTTTCTATAGATGGAAGTGCTCTGTGAAGAAGGTAGACCCCAGGCTGTCATCTTCTTCAGACAAATGACTGGCTGTGTGGAGCAGGCCTCAAGTAGCTTTTTGCTTAAATGAATTAGGCATCTGAGTTCTTCACCTTAACAAAGACAATCTGTCTGGCCTTAGAAGGGGTTTGTTTTGATCCACACAACTCCCATCTTGTACCAGCAACTTTTAACACTGCTGTAAACCCACATGGTTGTGAGTTTTATTGGGCCACCTGTCCTGCTGTCTTCGGTTATAAAAAAAAGGTCTCAGAGCAGTGATGATGTCATTGGCTTTTTGTGATGAATTCTCCTTTTCAGGAAATCACAGCTGCCAGATCTCTGTCTTGGCCTCCCGTTGAACTATATGGGTGTGTGTGTGTATGAATTTGCTTTTTTAAGCAGTTCTGTGTTGTTTATTGTTGTTCTGATTATGTTTTATTCCTAAAAGGCATTTTAGAAAAGGAAGCAGCCAAGTAATTACACAGTGACTTATGGAGAAGCTGGCTTGGAGGCAAGGTTTTTTTTTTAAAAAAAGCACACACACAAAACACACACACACAAAAACCTCTGTACAACAAATACTCTGCCATTTGAGTAGAGCTGGCTTTCTTCACCATCTAGTTCTTTGTTTTGTTTTGTTTAAATGATCCTCCATGAAAGATGCATTTGGGACATGTTTAGCATGTAGTTATGGTGAGCAGCTGAATATTTTTGCAGCACTGATCTTGGCCTTTGCACTCAGACGTTCTGGAATCAGAGGTGCTATGAGCCCTCCAGCCTGTCAGCTTCTACTACAGACTGAAGCATGAAGTACAGCAGACAGAAAATACTGCTCTGATGACTGCTGCCATGTTCTTAGTATTTATGGCGAGCCTGCTCCATAATGCCTGTCAGTGTTGTATGGCTTGTTTTTTCCTTCTTCTTTTGTGCATTTCTTTCTGTTCTAAGGCCTGAGATAAAAGGTAAAAAGGTAAAGGACCCCTGGGCGGTTCACAGCACACTTAACAAACTGCATCCTTAGTAAACAACTCCTGTTGTGCAGCTTCTCCCATCATTGCTGTGTTGGGGAATACCTTCCAAGAAAGTGAGCTTTGTGAGTACAGTCTGTCTGCAATTAGGGTTTTAACTTTGGTAGAGAGCCTTCATTTGTACAGAAAGATATCTCCTTCAGAAATTATGCTTCAACATCAGGACAAAGATTGTGGGGTGGGTGGGGAGCAGCAGCATGACCTTGGGACCACTTGTCAAATAGAGGATATCCCTTTATATTAGAGGCCTTCCTCTGTACATTAGGACACATGGCCACCTTACACAGATCTGGCAAGAGACAGAAACTGCGCCACTAAGAAAAAAACCTTTGCCAACGCTAAGGCCGAGGTTCAAAGAACCAGAAAACTAAAGAACACCTCGTAGATAAAAAAAGCTCAAGAGATCCAGCACTTAGCCAACATCCATGATGCACAGAGTTTCTTTAAAGCCACAAAGACCATCTGTGAGCCAATAAATCGTGGTATATGCCCTCTATACTCAACAGAAGGTACCACACTTCTAAAAGATAAAGAAGCTGTTGCATTGTGCTGAAAAGAACATTACCAACATCTCCTTAACCGCAACTCCCCCGTAGCTGCTGAGGTCCTCTCACAAATTCTGCAAAAACAAATTAGAGATGAGGTTGCAGTATCTCCAAATTTGGGAGAGTTGTGTACAGCTATTAACCAAATGAAAGACAACAAAGCCAGTGGACCTGATGGGATTCAAAGTGGACGGAATTGAACTTACACAACAACTTAACAAGCTTATTGAAAAAAATATGGGAGAGAGAGGAGATCCCAGCAGAAATGATGGAAAATGTCAATCACTTTTCCTACCTGGTCTGACATTGATGCCGAAATCCAGCATCGTGTGAGCTCTGTGATGCTCTGTGACTCCAATAGAAATGCAGAGTGTTTGAGGACTGGGACATTTGCAGGGAAACCAAAATGCTTGTTTACAAACCTATTGTACTATCAACCTTACTGTACGCTTGCGAAACATGGACCACTTACAAACACCATCTCCAACCCCTCAAAAGATTCCATCAACGGTGTCTCCGCAAAATTTTACATATCACTTGAGAAGATAGGTGAACTAATGTTAGTGTACTGGAAGAAGCAAAGATCACCAGTGTCAAAGCAATGATTCTTCAACATCAACTTTGTTGGGACTAGTCGCGTTGATGGGATGCCTGATTATCGTCTTCCAAAGCAACTATTCTATTCTGAACTTAAAAATGGAAAGCATAAGGCTGGTGGTCAACAAAAGAGGTTTAAAGACTCTCTCAAGGCAAATCTTAAAAAATGTAGTATAAACACTGACAATTGGGAAACATTGGCTTGTGAGCGCTCCAGTTGGAGAACAGCCTTTACCAAAGGTGCCATGCACTTTGAAGACACTCACACTCAGGAGATAAGGGAGAAATTTGCTAAGAGGAAAGCACGTTTGGCAAGCCCCTACCATGATCAGTCCCCCCCCGCCCCGAAACCTATATCCCCACTGTGGAAGGACGTGTGGATACAGAATTGGCCTCCACAGTCACCTAGGGACACACTGCTAAGACCATGCTTACTTGGCTATGAGTGATCGCCAAAGAAGAAGACAACACAATGGTATCCTGAATGTGATTATGAATTAAGAAACTCCAGTTAGGATGTGTGATTTTTATATGTAGCTACTGGGGTTATGAGTAGTTTGACAGTGTGGTTTTGAGTTGCTTGAATGCTTCATTGGGGCTGGCTACATAGGGCCAGCGTTCTGCTGCTGACTGAATTGAGACATTTCCAATGGTTTGCTGGCATTGTAAGTATTCTTTTTATTGCCAAATTCCGTTAAAGTCAAAGAGGGTTTATAGAAACCTCTTCTACTGCTTTCTTAGATAAGCAGGCAAACAGGAGGTGTTAAGGGCCTGCTCTCAGGTTAATTAAATCAACTGCTTGTTCCCTCCGGGGACTTCACATCAAGGCCAAGGTGAAATATGGAGAGTAATTGGGAGTTGCCTTTTAAAGTGCGGAGTTGTTGCCTGTCTGAAATCAGTGGAGGTTTGGGAAACTTAAGACCTTGTAAGATTAGTCCCTTTTTAGTCTAGCTTGGCATTTAGCTCGGATACCAAGATCAAATGCTGACATTTATTAATAAATAGACATAAAATGTCTGAGACAATTTAGCTTTTCTCTGTGGAATGTGGCTCATTTTATTATTACTTCTTTTGACATGGCATTCATCAGACTGCTTTGATTAGACAGTGTGTTTTCTGGAACACACCCAGATCCCCCCATGTTTTCTTTTCCTCTTTAAATTTTAAACCCATCTCATGTGGGCTTTATCTCTCTTACTTTGTTGGTGTGCAGAGCTTTTCCTTACATTTTAAGGGTTGTTAAGGTTACTTGCTGTTTGCTGTAAAGACATAGATCAAAAGACCGCTTTTGACATTTTTCTTTTAAACTGGGAAATACTGTAATCTGTGCACTTTTTTATTTGTTTTTTTGGCTGAAACCTTTAAGCCAACGTTTTCCTTGAACCAGACTAGAAGGGTGAGTGTAATAGATGCTCAGTGCGATAGAGACGCCTTGTTCCTTTTTGCCTGAGAAACTGTACAACAGGGACCAAAGACCTTTACTTTTTGCAACCTAAAGGAACATGTTTTTATTTATGGATCAGTGGAATGCAGGCAGCGGAGAAACCATAGCTTGGATCCTAAGCTTCCCTCCAAGCATGGAAGGAGTTTGCACTCCTTTCATGAGTACAGTTTTCCTCAGAACTTAGGATCCCGGGAACCCCATGTGATTTACACACCCAAAAACAATAGATCTTACTTAAATGTGGTGATTGTGCCTAAATATGTGGAATGTGCTGTGTATCAGCTGGAGAGCTGGGGCAGCAAAGTCACCTCCCCGCCCCCTCTGCCCCGGTCTATCTGCTTAATTTTTCCTCTTCCATCCATGTCCCTTCTCCCTTTGCATATTGTGTTTATTAATTTGGAAACCTTGTTTTAAACCATGAATGCCTTAAGAAAGACAGTTTATAATTGTAATAACACCCCCACCCCCCAGTTCTAAAAGATTGGTGTCTACTGATAATTACTTTCATAAATGTTTTCTTTTTTTACAGTTACCTGACCATAAGCAACAAACAGAAGTTCTTATACATCACAAGTCCTTTTTTAAAAAGGGCTGCCTTGGTACTTACCTATGTAAGTATTACTTTGAACTATAGTCTTACTTAACTTTAATTTCTTCAGATGAATCCCATTGTAGCTCCTTAGTCTCGAGAGCAGGCCTAATACAGAAGTATCTTACTCTGTTAGTCCATAGGAACAAACATAAGAATTTGTATGCTGGGCAGCGGCAGATTTAAGTTGGTGGGGACAGTTCTCCTGCACAGGGCACCAAGCTGAAGGGTGCAAAACAACCACCTGCTGGGTACCTACTGAGAAGATCCATAAAAAAGCAACTGCATCAAAAGGAATTACTGTGAAAATTAGAAGAAAAAAACTTTGTTCTTCCTCAAGGCACCATATTAACAAAGTCCGCCCCTATGCTGAGTTAGAACAGTTTATCTCGGTTAACCTGAAAATGTTTGTTTTAAGATAGGTTCTGGTTTCCTGGTCCTAATGAATTGTATGCTTTTTTGTAGTAATAACCGAAATATCTCTTCTTTTCTGAAGGTGATCCTACTTTTGTATTTTCGCTTCTGGATAATGGGAGGTTCTATGCCAGCGTTTTCAGAACAGGACAATCCAGCTTCATTCTCACCTTATCTTCTAACAAGGTATGATACCAGGAGCCACATATGTCTGAGTTGATGCTATCTTTCCATTTAATGTGAACCAATTGAGGCCTTAATCTTTGTTGTTGTTTCCTGAAAATCACAGTTGTAAAAATATGCTTGGGAACCTATAATATTTGCAGGATTAGATTAACTCAAATGCATAAAATAACTCCAGTGGATATGTTGCAGTGATTGTCCAAAATGTGGTGGTTGTTGACAGTCACGTGTGAATGTGCACTTTTCCAGATTTTACGATGGAGTTGCCCAAACAAGGAATGTGTGCAACAATATGTATTCTAGTGCAGAGTACATGCAAAAATACATATTTTAGTGAAAGTAACATATACAACTGCATTCTGTTATGGCACATTTGCTTGCAAAAATGCTTCTACAAGCAAAATTGTACATACAGTGGTACCTCTGGATACCCATACCTCCAGTTGTGTATCCTTCAGGATGCGAACATGGCAAACCTGGAAGCGGATCCTCTGGTTGCGGAAACTTCGGGATCCGACCGGAGCTCCAGAACAGATCCCATCCGCAACCAGAGGTACCACTGTATTAGGGAAAGCTAGCACAAAAATGAATACAGTGGTACCTCGGGTTAAGTACTTCATTCGTTCTGGAGGTCCTTTCTTAACCTGAAACTGTTCTTAACCTGAAGCACCACTTTAGCTAATGGGGCCTCCTGCTGCCAGAGCACGATTTCTGTTCTCATCCTGAAGCAAAGTTCTTAACTCGAAGTACTATTTCTGGGTTAGCGGAGTCTGTAACCTGAAGCGTATGTAACCCGAGGTACCACTGTATTAATTTTTATGCTGCATAAAAAAATTTCAGACGTGTATGCAGAAATGGGCAAACCAAATTTTAAGGCTGTAAAAGTGAGAAACTTAGAGAAACCAAAATAGACAGATTTGTCCAAACCTAGCATTAATGTGAATATTGGCCGTGCTCAAATTTTTGAAATTCACCCTGATATAGATAAGTGATTCTAAAGAGGTATTTGGGGTCCAGACACCTAAACATTTTGTTTATATTTTTATAGAGAAGGTCTATAGGTACTTAGTCCAGGGCAGAAATTTGGAACCTTAACACAGGAAGCACTTATGTCAAACGACGCATAGAACATAGAAATTATGCCTGTGGAAGAAAGTAAGAAAAAATTGGGGTTTCATTTCTTGACTACATTCCTTGCCATGTTGTTTAGCTAGGTACTGCCAGTTGCTCATGAACCATTACTAGGAGTAAGAGCTCTCCCAGGATAATCACCACAGCATTAAAAGCTTGGATAAATGCTTTTACTGATTATTTCAAATGCCCTCAGGGTACTTCCCTCAAGAGAGCAGCAGTACAAAGGAGACTCCTAGTCCCAATGAACTCTCATTTAAATTTGGGCAGTCTCTTTGAAAGGTTAGGGAAGCCAGTGAAGGACTAGTGAAAGCAAGCACCACATTTTCAGTTTGCTTTCTGTGGAAGCTTTTCATGGGTTGTACTTAATTCCCGAATATCACTCTGTCTAATCCCTTGATTAGGGGAAACTGCATCACCACCATATAAGCCTTTAAGGCTCTTGGGTTTCTGGCTTGGCAAGCCTAATGCCTCAACATCCATGGTTTATCCTTAAGACTTCAGTGCAAGGGGAAGAAAAAGCAGGAGGAGAAGCTGTAACGTGGAAGGTACCGGAAGAGACAAACAGCTCATTGTCTCTCTGGCTACTATAGATTGAACTGTGAGACTCTGGAAAAGAAAATACAAATGTTCTCATGGGTCATGTAAGAGGGCGGAATGGAAAAGAACAGCATGGGGTAGGTTTTGTAGCCCATTAACTTTTCCTTTTAAAAACCTTGTGGGCTTCCTCAGATAACGAACAGAATTTTAACTCTTCCTAAATGCCGAGAGGAAATGTTATTAATGCCCTTCATTAGGCGTAACAATTTTTCACTTCGGTATTTACAGCTGAAGCTATTTTAGCTTGGGGTTCTTTCCATCTTTTTCACAGCTCTAAATCAAATGCGCTTGACAAGGCACTTCATAATAATGTTGTAAAACATATGTGGCTGCAATTATAACCAGGTGCTGTTATTTATGGGCTCCCTATCTCTGCCGTATTTGGTTTGTTTACTCTGAGGCGCTCCTATCAGGGAGCCCATCCATGCGGCAAAACCCTCCGCTTTCTATATAGCTTGGCATACTTGTCTCTTTGTCAGCCGAATCATTTTTGAAAAGATAACAGCTTTTTTTTTGAGTGTGTGTGTGTGTGTGTGTGTGTCTGTCTGTCTGTCTCCACTTCCCATATAAAACTGGTGGACATTATACTTCTACCAGGTTGTTCTGTGTATGGGAGGGCCTGCAGAAGGTGGTTGTATACCATTGTAGTACAGTAGCACCTCGGGTTACATACGCTTCAGGTTACATACGCTTCAGGTTACATACGCTTCAGTTTACAGACTCTTCTAACCCAGAAATAGTACCTCGGGTTAAGAACTTTGCTTCAGGATGAGAACAGAAATCGTGCACCGGTGGCGCGGCGGCAGCGGGAGGCACCATTAGTTAAAGTGGTGCTTCGGGTTAAGAACAGTTTCAGGTTAAGAACAGACCTCCAGAACGAATTAAGTACTTAACCCGAGGTACCACTGTAGTGGGATCCTGTCCCACACCAGTGAGACAGCCTGACCCAGAAGCTCTTAATAGAGGTCAAGCAGAACAATGTGATCTGTTCTCTTGTCTTCCTGTTAAGAGGCTTCATTGCTGATCCGGTTGGTTTCTCTGTAGCCCCCCCTTCAGCCACAGGTGATAGTTGTTGGTGGCACAGACTGAATTCCCACCCAACTTCCCTCAGGCTCAGGACCTGCTATAGGGTCAAGTTCTGTTTGTACGTTGCAACCCAAGAGAGGGTTGTGTATGTATGTGTGGGTTTGTTTGTTTTAAGATTGGTTGTATCAGCAATGCCGCAACAACAATGCAGAAGAGAGAAGCTGGCAACCAGAGGGGAAAGAAAAAGGACAGAGAGGGTCAGGCAGATGCACACATATAGTAAAGGTACATATATAATATACAGTATTAGATTGCCAGTTGGGTCCCATGTAGAGGCAAGAAGTGAATGTTGAGTTTGGATAGGATAAAGAACACTGGTCTGTCCAGCATATTCCAAGTATAGAATTGCTACAGCCATGATACTTGGTCCCAGGCAATTTTAGCCTCTGATGGTATTAAAAGAGTTTCAGCTCTTTAAAATAATCATATGTATTGTGTCAGAATGGAGTGAGTCAACCGTCTTGCATCTGAGGGCCTCCCTGCTCATTCTGTTGCAGGAGTGGGCAACCTCTGGCACACAGGATGAGCTTGGCCCACCAAGGGAAGCCACTGTTACATGGGGTAGTATATCTTAAAAATACCTATACATCTGCTGCAGCCAATTAAGAGTTCATGGTCTTGGGACTACTCACGTTGTTTGCTTCTTGACTAAGAGTACAATCCTAGTAGGCACGTGAGTGGCGCTGTGGTTTAAACCACTGAGCCTCTTGGGCTTGCCGATCGGAAGGTCGGCAGTTCGAGTCCGCACGATGGGGTGAGCTCCTGTTGCTCTGCCCCAGCTTCTGCCAGCCTAGCAGAAAGCATACCAGAGCGAGTAGATAAATAATTCCTGCTGTGGTGGGAAGGTAAACGGCATTTCCGTGCACTCTGGCACTCGTCACAGTCTTCTGTGCGCCAGTAGTGGTATAGTCATGCTGGTCACATGACCCGGAATGCTGTCTGTGGACAAACACCAGCTCCCTTGGCCTGAAAAGTGGGCTGAGAGCCTCACCCCATAGTCGCCTTTGAGTGGACTTAACCATCCATGGGTCCTTTACCTTTACCATACTTTACAATCCTATGCAAAATCCTATTCAGGTCCCATTGACTTCAAGGCTGCAATTCTAAACAGATTAACCTATTGAGAGCCTCATTAAATACAGTGAAAATTAGTTTGGGGGAAAATTGCATAGGACTAGGCAGTAATGTGAGTGTGATTCGGTTTCTCAACTGTGCCATGTGATAAATGGACTCTAAAGTAGGATCCTCTGCTTTCTTGCCAGGCTGTAAAGAGTTAACTTTGCTTCAACTTTCATGCTTTTTGTTGCTTGAATCTAGGGCTAGAAGTGCAGATGCCTTGGCACCAGAAATAAAAACAAGCAGTTTCTCCACATATTAGCAATAAAAAAAATATTTCTTTTACATGAAGTCTGCAAAATAATTTTTTAAAAATGCAAACGCTCTTTGGCCATCTGACTTAATCTGCACTGTTCATCTCAGTTATTCAAAGAGCAAATGTTAATTGGAAGAAATGCAATGCATACTGAAAATTAGTAGACAAATTAACTCAAATGATTAGGGAACATTCTCCAGAGCTGCATAAAGTATAGATTGGGGTAAAATAATAAACAGCCTAGATTGCAGTCAGGGAAGCAAGCAAGTCCCCGGTGTTTATGTTCAAGCTGTCACTTTCCTCAGAGCTGTGTTTTGGAAGGGTGGTTGTTTTATGTTCTTGAGAGAGATCTGGTTGCACAAGCAGTATTTATAATTAGTTTTAAAGCATTAGATTAAATGCATTCAAGCATCCAGTATGCCACAGTAACAGTTGCTGCCGAGGTTCTTTTTATAAAATCATGCAAACTTTGGGAATAAACTCAGGCCTTGCTTTAACATGGAGAATGGCAGAAGCCTGTAACTGGGAAGTTCATCTTTCAAGTTCTCCTTTTAGTTTTAGGGTTCTTTTCTTTTTAATGCTGAATTCTTGCAACTCTGGATTAAGCACCCCATTGAACCCAAGGGAATTTACCTCTGAGCAAATTGCATTATAAGTAATTATATACTGTCATGAAAATCTGTATATACATGAGGCGAAACAGCTTCACTTTCCTTTTTAAAATCTGATGAGATTAACAGGGGGCTCATTAGTTTCATTTGATTTATAGCCTTCCCTATGCCAAGAGCTCAAGAGGGGTAACATTATGCTATTG